GTGGACCATCAGTCCTCAAATCCCTGCTTCCAGGACCTGGCAGATCAAACAGAGATTGGCAAATGCAGGCCTTTTAGAAAGCAGACCTGCCGCCAATAGCGGCCAGGCCACTCGGATTGGGAGATAATGTTGCACCCGAGTGAATACATGCTGGTTGCAGCCTCCATTGTTTATTTTGGAAACTGTTGGAAGCATAGAAACACCCTGAGTGATACTTCAGAATCTTACTGGGGAGTAAAGGGTGGAAAGGGCTTCGGTATAAGCTGGAGAAGACAGGAGAGGGAGATAGCATGTACTATAATACAAAGTTGTTTTAGATTGTAAATCTCAAAGACATGTGAGATATTTGCCCTCAAGGGGCCACTTTTCTAAAAAAAAAAAAAAAAAGTACAAATATTCTCTAAGCAGAACCAGAGAAGTGTATAGGGACATTGTACTGGCTGGTAAAGACACCAGGAGGGCAAGTTTTCTGGACAGGTTCTTTTTGCAATAGGGGTCACAAACTGGGTGGGAGGAAGTGTTTGCCCCCTCTCTCTCTGGATTAGGAGGCTAAGGGAGAGCTGGCAGGAACACCCTCCACCCTGATGCTCACTGTCAAAGATCAGAGAGTATCTGGGCCTTCAAGTCTTGTTCCTGCAGGAGATCAATATTCATACACACAGAAATTTCTTACTTATGTAATTTAGTCAGCAAACACAGCCTAGGGATTCCAGGGCTACTAGCAAAGGCTCCAAGAGGGCCTTTGACACCCTCAAAATGTTGGGTTCAAATAATTGATTCTAGTGTCTTCTGGAATATCTGCTTGGGCTGGGTTTTACTTTTCCTTAAGATAAATGAAGGCACATTCTTTCTGTTAGGTAGAAATTTATCTACCACTTCCAAAAAGTGTTTCTGTGTGTTCAGATGTGAAATGTTTGCCTGTATGCATTGGATTTGATCACTCCATTTTCATTAGAAATGCAAAATCAGATGCCCCAGGGCATATTGCAGACTTCATATTCTGTGATGATATGTGCATTTTTCCAGAAATATTCTCCTGTTCTCCTCTGGCACGTTGAGTACGTTTAAAGCCAGTTCAACCTGATTTAAAATGAAATGAGACTTGAATTAACTGGCAGTATCTCTATATTGAACAGATTTGTGTGGCCTTTTAATTTCAGCTACTTAGGTAGCGTAGTGCCTAAAGCACTTGACTGCTAACCAGAAGGCTGGCAGTTCAAATTCATCAGCCACTCCTCGGAAGGAAGGTTGGGCAATCTACTTCTGTAGTGAT